CGACATCCACTTACCCACCTTTTTTTTTGTTAAAAAACGTAAAAAAAAAATCTGTTATTGCACTGCGCTTGGCAATCAAGAAGCGTTGAGCCCATGCGCATAAACTTAAAATTACAAACTTTGGAAGGATTTAACTTCTAAAATAATAGTTTTCTGTAAAAAAATTGACACCATCGTTTTATGCATAAAAAGGTGCTTTGCTGTACAGTAGGTTACAAGTGGGTCACTGTATAATGGAAGGTATTAAATTTGAATTCAATGATATAATATTATTGTATAAGAAAAACGATTCTGAGCGGAGACGGTATGTCAGTCTAGGTATAAGACATATTATAAACTTATCTATGGTATTAAAAAAAATTGACCTATAATAAATTTCAAATTAATCATATATAACACATTATCCATTAGGTACTTATAACGCGTTATACATCAACAACAAACCCTGATACTATCATAGATATATAATAGTGTACAGTGTACTTTAGAAGTTTCAAGTACCCACGAATAATTATATTATACAATCACAACAAAATAACTCAAATAGTTTATCTAGGTTTTTATTATGTAATTTCGTCCAGATTTGAACTTAAAATGACTATAAAAATAAACTGTACTTATGTATTTTTTAGATTTTTTGGGAACAGAATTAACTACTTACGTAGAATCTTGTTTTACATTTTCAATCCTTAGATATAAAAGGTGAACATTTTATAAATTTTTAACAACAAAATAATTTTTCAATTTTTAATTTGATAAATTTTGTCAAAATTCGATCTTTAAATGCTTATAAAAAAAAATTGTGCCTATGTATTTTTAATATTTTTCAACTGATATTTCAACTGCTATATTTTAACAATATATCAGGATCCTTGTATTAAATTTTTACACTTTTTGGCCTAATAGATAAAACTTAATTGATATTTATAGAAAAAAAAAACTAAAAAAATTGATAAATGAAAACAGCTCAAAAAGAGTCCAAAAATATGAGCGTCCAGTCAAATTTTCATGCATAGTTATTCGTTTTTGAATTACAACAAAATAAGGAAATCGCTACATGAAAAATCGAGTGAATATCCAATGTTGTAAAAATTTGAATTTCAAACGATCATAAAAATTTAATATGACTTTCTTATAGACATTTTTTTTTTTTGATAAAGGTAGATAATCTTAATTATAAGGAATCTTGTATTACATTTTAAAATCTTAGATTTAAAAAGAAAAATTTTTACGAAAACTCAAAATAATTTGCTAATTTTTGTGATTTTTCCATATTTTGTCAATTTTTGGACTTTAAAGTTTAAATGCTTATAAAAAAAGACTGTGACTAAGGATTTTTAATATTTTTCATCTGGCTATGAAACAATATATTAGACGCCCTCTATTAAATTTTCAAGCTTTTTTAACCAACCAATAAAATTTTATTGATATTTATAGAATAAAAAACTAAAAGAATTGGAAACTGAAAATGTCCCTCAACAGCTCAAAATAAATCAAAATATTTTAAAAAAGGCATGGTGTATAGAAAATGATAATATTAACAGTCAGTAAAAATTTCATGATTCTATGGTCATTTGTTTTAGAGTTACACAAAAAACCAAAATCGATTTCTTCGAAAACAGATTTTGCGTAAAAATTCCTGTTTTTCCTAAATTTTTCTTTTGTTTTTCACGTCACTTTTGAAAACTACTGTGAAATTTTTTACTTTTAACCCTCCAAAGTACCAACTAAATTCACTTTCCTATTAGAAAAGATACTGTTGGAGAAAATCCAAGCACTTTTACTGTCCTATAAGGTGATGACAGACACAAAAAAAAAATAAAAAATAAAAAACACACATCATTGTAAAATCAATACATTCATCGTTCCACTCAGAATCTAAAAACAAGTTGTTTAAATCAAAAAAAGGGGACTTGGTAATATGTCCTTGAAGTTTTAAAAATCAATTGTTTTCCGTTTTTTTTGGTACCTACCTACAACTTCCGTAATAAAAAAAAGCTACAATTTTTTCAACCACATTCAAATACAGTGCTTTAAAACACATATTTAGAAAAAAAAATTGAATAACGAGATCGGGCCGTAAACTATAGATTTGTTCCGCTAGTGCTTGGCTATCATATATGTATTATATATTATTTTACACATTGATGAATTTAATTTTGAATTAAAAATAAATTGCATGTAAATTTAGTTCAAAACATTGTTATAATAATTCAAAATAAGAAATTCTATTATACATTTTTGTGTATTTTATAGGTAAGTAATATTTTGTAACTACTAACTAATACCTATTCCTTATGAGAAAACTTATATTAAATTGTCAATCCTTGGCTATACAAATTTAACATACTATAAGAAGTAGGTATTCAACTACAGAATAATTTGCAAATTATTGTGAATTTGATGAATTTTGTCAAAATTTGAACTCTAAATGCTTATAAAATAAATCGTGAATTCTAATAAATATATATCTTAAGTATTTTTGAACTACTAATATAACAACTTATATTACTTAAAACTTATATAAGATTATAAGAAACCCCGTATACGGGGGTATACGTTGTATAAGTTTAATTGACCCAGCGACATTTTTTCCTATATTTTAGAAAAAATACTAAAAAAATTAAAATGTCATATATTATATATATTAGCATCTCAAAAATAGTCAAATATTTTGTAAATGTCATTATGTATAGAAAATTATAAAACTAACATTTGGTGAAAATTTTAAGTGTCTATAATATATAATATATACGGTTATTTTATTTTTGAATTACAACAAAATAAGAAAATTGTTAGATGAGAAATCAGGTGAATCGTGAATACCCAATGTTGTAAACATATGTAACTGTGTGTCTGTGTAAGTACATTAAACGCATATACAAATTGTAATGTGACTTTCAGCCTTCAGGTAAACTTTTAGTTTTTGTTAAAGGTATAGAAAAACTTGTCTGGAATCCTGCATACAATTCTCAAATTTTAGATAAAGCAACAATAATCCATATGATTTTCTAACTACAAAATAATATGCAAACAATGTTCACGATTTTGACAAAATTGTAAATATGAAAAATGTTTGGGATTATATGTACTTATTTTTGATATTTTTTAATTGGTATTGGTATGAAATTTAAATGCTTATAAAATAAAATCGTGAATATATTGTATAATTGTATATTTGTATCTTTAATATTTTTGAATTGTTATATATTGCAACAACCTATATATACGATAATGTGTTTACAAAGATTTGATTTAGGTATAGGATCTTCCATAAGTTTAGTAATACTCATGTCGAGGTTTTATTTAAGGTTTCGGTTTCTGTACGGCTGCATGTACCTATGAAAATTTATATTTTCAGTAACCATAGAAATAATTTTTTTATTTTCTTAAAATTTGGTGCAGGGGTTACAGCACCCCACTGACTTATCGTGAATACATAACAATAAAAAAAAACCACCAAATCATTGTAAAATCAATACATTCATAAATCATAAAGTTTCATTTAGAATCTATAATGTATTTTATATAAGAATTATTTCAAATAATATAGTATTGAACAAATTATATTAAGGTTCTCTGGGCTTTTCCTTCAAATACATTTTCATGATTTTACTGTAATGTCTATATTGTTTTTTTGCAAGCCAAATCATAACTGTATATTTATTTTAATACGTTTATTTTTCATACTGTTATGGTTTTTTATTGCGCATTAAAATTTTTTTGATGGCTGATTATAATTTATAAGTACAAACAAATAAAGTGGCATTGATGTTATTGTTTTTTTTTTCAATCGTGGGGTGATGTCGTAATGACATAAGTACTTAGGTACCTATAACAAGGCCTTATCTATAGAACTCTTTCCGATATTTATAAATTTTAACTGAACGGGGTGAATGGTGATGATAAGTGACATCAGAGCCTTTACTCCTTACGAATATCTGCTATATTATATAGTAAATAAATTTGTGCACTTGTACGACGGAAAATTGATCAATTTGAGATAAGTCAGCCTAACACCCCGAAAGTGAAATTTCGTACTTTTTTTTTTTAGAAAATTAGTAACCAATTTGTAATAATTTGTAACGCAAGATTTTAAATTTTTAATAGCCTTGAAAGGACGTTCTAGTGTTAGGGATGTTGTAGGGCTGACTAAATATCTAAAAATAAAGGTAAGAAATTTCACTTTCGGGGTACCAGGCTGACGGGCACTATATCAATTTGCTTAAAATTGTTAAATACATGATGTTTAATTTTATAGAAAATAGTATGTTGATATATCTAAAAAATCTATGCTCTGACTGACTTATATAAGTATTGTTGTAAGTTGTTATATTATATACTATACTACTATAGGTAGTAATTTAATATTTGTATATAGCTACATAGACATATATGATATATAGTAGTATTAATACGACAGTATAAGACGTACAATACTTGTGTAAGTATAATATATTTATGAGTATATTATATAAATAGTCAATACAATAAAAATTTAATTTTTGCATCTAGTGTCTACCCATTAATAGTATATTAAAAAATGTAGGTAGAATATAATATACAATGCCAGACACCTAGTAATCATTACTCATTAGAATAGGTACAAAAACTTATTTTTTTTTGTTTTTGGCACACGTGACGAAATAATTCTTTTGGCAAATTACTATATTAGTAGGTATAGCCGCCTGCCGTTATATAGGTACCAATATTGCAATAAACATCGTAAGATTTAATAATTTATAATAATAATAATAGTTATTTAGCGTATATACAAATTTTAAAAGTGTCATAATATAATATATAAAAAAAAACGTAAACAGCAAGAATACATATAATATTAAAAACCAAAAACTGAATAACCCCCCCTCCCACGAAACCGAAAGCATATTTTATATGATCAAGGTCATCAAGCTTCAAGGTCGTTCGGCAAAATATTTAAACGGTATTCAAAATATAATGTGAGGTGGTAAGGGATGGTGCTACGTATAAAATCTTTGTCATCGTCCTCCACTCGGCGGCAGTGATCGTGCGCCATCGATGACGAAATCACCACCGGCCGCGCCCCCGTTTACCGATCCACCACGGACCGACGCTGCAGCGACAGCATTTTCCGACCGATGCTGCAACAGCGGCACGAGCGCCCGGCGGAGTCGTTCTACGACCCGCGGGAGCGCCACGTTTACCAGATCGGTGCGGTTCATGCGGCGGACGGCGTCATCCGACGGGTCCGCCGACTGCTGCACGACAGCAGCTGCGCGGTCGTCACCACCATTAAGTTCACGCCGTTCGTACGCCACTATGCGTTCTCTGAGGCGGGTGAGTAGTTGCAGCTGTTGTTGTTGCTGTTGCTGTTGTTGTTCCGCACCGTCCGGCCGGTACCGCTGATGGCTTCTGTCGCCACCATCGTTGTCGTCGTCGTCATCATCGTCTGAAATTGACCGCATGGACAGGAGCGGAGGCAATAGGTCAGCGATGCGGCCGCGGACCACTCCAGCGGCCCGCCGGTACGGTTCGGGCGAACCACATGGATCCGAGTCCGAGAAGTCGGGAGACGGAATCATAGGGCCACCGTCACCTTTTCCCCGGTCGCCCGGTCGCGTCCCGCGTTGTAGTCTCAGTAACATGTCGTACAGTCGACCGTTTTCACGCCGCCGGACGTCCAGTTCACGTCGCAACTGTTGCAGCTGAAGTTCGCCGTCGCCACGATCACTATTGCAGCCATGGTCAATTGTCACGGTTCCGTCACCACACTGCACTTGCGCGTCAGCCACGGACGGCATTGGACGATCTGCCGTCGCCGCGGCCGCGTCCACGCCGCCACTGCAACGGCCGCAAGTCGAACACCGACGCGGTGGCCTGCACCGCCGCCTTCTATGCAAACCGCCGCCACCACTTACGGTCCTATGACGTCGAGTGGTGCAGGGTGACGTAGCGGTGGCCGTCGTCATATTAACGCCGTCGCCGTTCAATTCGTCCGCCTCCTCCTCAGCGGCCGCAGACTCCGTTGACGAGGACGTTGTCGTAGTAACGGTCGCCGAATCGCCGACGCTCTTGATCGGCTGTTGCATTAACCGATGATGTGGTCGACAGTGACGTTTCCGCGTACTCGTCAACGACGCCAACGGAGCGCCGACCGCAGCTAACCGCACAGGCTCTTCGTCACCCTTGCAGTCGTTCGAATCTACAGTCTCCTCTTCTGACGATGATTTGGTCTCGGTGGAGTTTTCTCGGCGGTCATGGTCATCATTGTCGTCGTCGTCATCTTCTTCGTCGCAGCTAAAAAAAAAGTTAACTTCCGAGTAGTCCGGCAACACTGGCGGCGGCGTCGTGATGGTGGCTACGTTCGGTGGCGATGACGCTGCTGCAGTCTGCGATTTTGTACAGGCAGCTGCTGGTAATTTTGTGGAGCAGACTGACTCCGCGGCTGACCGAATTACCAAGATTCCTTTGGTCGCTGGCGGCGAAGCAGTCGACGCCGCGGCTGTCGAAGGAAACTGCTGCAGATTTTGTTGCTGTGGCGGAACTGCAACTGCTGTCACCGCCTGCTCGGCCGGTCTCCTGTCTCTCTGTGCGGCCACCTGCGTTACGTACCGTTGCTGCTCGAGCTTTCCGATCTGCCGGTTCCGAGCCCATAGTTCCGTGTTGACCAGCTGTTGCAGTGACCGCTCCAGCCGTCTGCACCGCCCCCGCAGACGGGACACCTCAGAACCAGCACCCTCATCGTCCTGCACTCCCGCGGTCTCGAGTTGTGTGGGTGGTGTTGGCTGTGATGGCGGTGGTGGCGAACGCAGAACGTTCTGTCTTGTCACCGAACGCTCCGCGGACAGTACCCTCGCTGTACACGACGTCTCGGAGTCCGTCGCAGATGCGTCATGAAATTCGTCGTTTTCGTCTTCGTTTGTCTTCTCTCCCTGCAGTATATGACAAAAAAAAAAATTTTAAAAATTAATAATCAGAATACCAATAATATACAATATGCGGAATCTTAATAATATTTGTGTTTTTACCTGGCCGTCTACGGCGCATTCTTCGATGTGATTTCGCAGTCGCTGCCAGCGTCGTTTGTCGTCGGTGGACACGGACACCGCTTTGGCTGACACTGTGGCCGCCAGTAGTGCCAGCAATCGCCGGTTGACGGTCAGCAAGTCGTGGATGGTTCGAACGGCCGCTTCGGCGGTCGCCTTCGCCGCCGCGTTATTGTGGTCGGTACCACTACTAGCGTCAGAGTCGTCGCTGTCGGTATCGGTGTAGTCGCTCCGCTTTTTCCGGTCCCGCGCAATTGCAGGCTGCCGACAGCCTGTCTACCCGTCGCTCGGCGTTGTAGACGCGCAACCGGAGCTGAAAGTTGTCGGTCCGCAGCTGTTCCAACTCGTCGATGAGGTGAGTCGTGTTGTTTATCGTGGTCACGGCTGTTACATTACTGTTGTTGTTGTTGTTGTACTCGTCGACAATATCGTCACCACAATCGTACGATCGACTAAGGCGGCGGCCCCGGTGCCGCATGACGTTCGGGTTCGCAGCTTTCGTACAGCGGTGCAGCTGACACGGACGGAGGCGATCGCAACACTCCGCCGGTAACGACGGTCCGACGGCATTCCATATCGCGACCACGCTTATTATCAGCTAATAGTTATTCAATACGAGTATAAAACTATTCACTTTTATGGTATAATTATTTAATAGGCATCAAGACAATACCACACATGGATCGAATATTGTACGTATAGTTTTTTAACTGTGACATAGATAAATCTAAATTGTGCTTATAAAAAAATATATATTTAAACGATATTAATTCGATGTCGTAATGTACCGGAGTGTTTGTTGTACGATTAAATCACGTATTGCAGCCGGTTCGATAGCGTCGAGCGGAAACGGAGACGATAATATGAAAAAAAAAAAACACTGTACAACGCTACACTACCTACGCACGAAATGAATAATAATATGATAATTAACAACAACAGTATTAACGGCGAAATACATCGGGCGGCGGCGGTAATAAACAGAAACGTCGTCGTCGTCGGCGCGCCCGTCCGGGTCCGTTTATTATTAGTGCTTACGACAGCGAGCCGACGTGTGCCCGGGAGCCAGTCGACTTGATTCTCGAACGCGTTTATTTTCGTATTCGGCGGTGCGCGGTGGCAGTCGCCGTCGCACGTTTCGCAGTGACTGACGACAGAAATAGGTATGGTTGTAATGACGTGTACGTATTACCGGCGACGACGAAGAACGGAGATTACAGTCCGCGTGTTGGACTTTGCTCCGAGCCGACTGCTTGAATAGATGCGACGCGGGCGATTTGGTGGACTGCGATTACGACGAAATCAACAAAATACGATTTAACAATCACCAATGATTATCATCGTTATACACAATAAATTCAAAAAAATGCATATCGTACAATGGTCGTCCGCAATGCAATGTGTAAAATTAATAATATAATATCGCTTGTCACTTGTGTTATGATAATAATATAATAATAAGTATAATATTATAATATCAACCGGATTGTTATTTAAAATTGTACGGCGTTGGCGGCGGCGGCACACGCGTGACGCTTGATTTCGTTTGACTTTGAGATTAGGTATATTATGATAATAATATATTGTCAAAACGTCAACTTTTTATAACAACATGGCGACGGCAACACGCACACGCACGTCGCACGCTAAAGGCGCGCGTGTAAGACTGAAGAATAACGATTAAATCGTAATGTATAGCGACGATGATAATAATAATAATATTATAGCGGCAGCATCACCGGCTGCTGTAATATAGGAGCAGCACGTGTGTGATCGTGTCGTACACTCGTACCGCCGAGTATAGCGGTAGTGTAGCGCCGGCGACGGTGCTGCGCTGGCGCGTGTTGATGATAATGATAATAAGAAGAATTTATTATTATTATTATTTGAACTATATTGTGCGCGTGCGTATGAAAATAAAATACGAATCGCCTACGACTTGGTACCACCCGCCTCCTGCCCACCATGACCCTCTCGGTAAGTCCCGGTCCCCGGACCGTGATCAGCAGCCGCACCCTTTCACGCGAAACGAACAGTCGACGTTGATGAAATAGCGTCGATCCCGGCCTTAGGTCATTACTGTAATGATAAAACGATGACTACACACGCAGTGGAAGTGGGATAATAATCCTAAAAAACATAGTCGAAACGTAAATTACCTATACGCATTGATGTGTGAACAGAGGGGTGGTGCCTGGTGTGTCTGGGCACCCCTTGACATTTTGTAATTGGGGCACTAAAATGTATAAGTTCCAGAGCGTAGGGGGCCTGCATTTCATTATTGATGTTACTAAAATAGAATGTATTTTTTTTTTTAAATATGTTGTAAAAAATGAATCATGTTTTGTAATATAAAAAATAATAAAACTTAAAATATTTTTAATTTTTGTGGAATGACTTTTAATTATGATTATAACAAAAGTATATATGTTATTCACTGTTATTGACTACAAAAGTACGAGTAATAACTAAATAAAAATTGCAATCATCTTAGAAATGGATATTAGATGCAAGTGGGGAATATATAATATAACTTGGTGAAATTAATTATTTACTACTGATTAATATGTACATGTATTGTTAAGAGAGGGCCCAAACATATTGTAGGCATCCCCCGAAATTCAAAAATTCATTTACAAAAAACCAATTTACAAAAAAAAATAGATTTTGGTGTAACTTGTAAGTCGTAACTAGTAAATATAACCATAGTACTAACCGTATTAATAACTATTAACTAGTATAGACACTTGAAACAAAACTCTCCAAATAATTTATAGGTAATAAGCATTTTAAATACATGGTAATTTTTTTGCAATTTTTACACTTTTTAGAGCTTTGAGAAAATTTTCGAACTTGTGTTGGTTTTTACGATACTTAAATTTTTTAGCAAGTTATAACTTATAATATATAATATGCTTATTACCTATAATATAGACAATATAGTGTAAATTTAAAATTCTCATAACTCGTTTAAAAACTGAATAACTCCTAAGTCCTCAAAAACCAACCTATGAACACAAAATAATGTTCTTACCATCAAGTTTTATAATAGGTCGATAATACTTCAGACTAACGGAGGCTAAACGTTTTCTGCTGAGCGTAAATTTGCTTTGTTACGCACTTGTTACACGGAGACAGCACATGCGGGTGTGGCGTACTCTTATACTTATTGTCTTGATAGTTGATATACATATGCCCTCGACAGTATATGATATGATATGATAATAATATGATGGTATATATAATATACCATCATAAAAGTACCGATTTGGTTTAAGTCCACACAACACGTCAAGTCTTGTTTAGGTACCTATACAATATTATCAATTATCATATTATTATCATAAAATTATTATTACCTATTAGTATATTATAGTATTATATATAGTATTACACTAATACCAAAGGTGGACAAGTTAAGTTAATTCAATTCAATTGCCTTCAGTTAAGTTAAAAGTTAACAAAAAAAATAACCAGATAAGTTTAAAGGTAAAATAGAAAATAAAATTAACTTAACACAGTTAAAAAAAAAGTTAATTTTTTTCAAGTTTTTTAAGTCATAAACCCTAGTATTTTGCTATACACAAACATTTACCAAGACTTTTAACACTAGGTTAACAATTAAATTATTTTAAAATATAATTCAAAAATTAATTACCAAAATCGAAAAAGTGTCAACGAACCAGGTATTGTCTAGTTGATTACGCATGACACGAAAAGAAAATTAACTTAACTGCACAAGTGCACGACAATGATAATTAACTCTAAAAAGTTAAGTTACAACAATACAAATATTAATTGAATAAGTTAATAAGCTAAAAACAAAAATAATTAACTAGTTAAGATAAAAAGTTAAGAACATTAACTTTTTAACTTAAGCTTAACTTTTTAACAAGTTAATGCCCACCTTTGACTAAATACTATAATATACAATATACTATATACTAAAAAGTAACAATATTTTAATTTTATTATTATGTTTCTGATATTTTAATTTAGTCTTAACACTTAAATAATTGCACTATAATATTATTAGGTATATGATATAATATTATTATAGATACAGACGTATCTCCTTATTCATAATTCATATCCTATAACGGTTTAAGTCCAGATTGGTTACGTATAGAAGATAATGCAAAATGTAAGTAAATAAATAATAATACGATGTGTGTAGGTGCGCGTATTATAATGACGATAAACTTAAGAACGAAAAAAACTCAAGTAGGTATCTATGTATATAAGTGTCTAATACATAAGACATAGGTTGTAGGTACTTCCCAAATACATTCAGCAAATTATGTTTAGTTTTGTTAGTTTTAATATTAGAATTATCACATCTATATTAACAAACTTAAAAGTTGTTATTCGCTTCAAAATTAAAACATCTAAAAACACTTTGGTACATATATAGGTAGGTATATTAAAACACAAAGAGTGTCGTTATAGGTTGGTCATGATTAGTGCTTTACTTAAATTATATAACTATATACCTATCTAATAGCTGAAAATGCACATTTAAAACATATTTTATAATTAAAATATTATGTAGCTAGGTCTTGGGTAAACACAATTGGAAAATGGAATATTGGAAATTCATGTAATACCTATATTATGATTAAATTTATTTTATAATCTGTAGGTATATTTCTTTTCAATACTTTGCAAACATTGAAAACCAAATGTTTACAATTCCTGCAGGATATGCTTCCTACAAGAGGTGTGGGATAAAACAAAAAGTGTTTGAGAAAGTGTTTCCCCAAAAATGACCGCAACGTCTTGCGAAGCCAGTATAGGCGTTTCCTATCCATTCTTATAATCTTAGTTCATGATATGAGATAACAGATAACGAAAATTACAATATCATATTATGTCATTATGAATATATAAAAATAATAAATAATAAATGCTGGTATATGCCATATGGTATTTTCGGTAATTACCGGTAATTATCGGTATACCGAAAATACGCTAACCCTAACCTATTCACACTGCTCTGTTGGTATACTAATATACTTACTATTATAGTATTAGGTATATGAGATGTTTCTGGCAAAAATAAGTTCAATTTATTTATGTATCGTAGAAGTCCTTAGTGTATATCTAACAGAAAAATAATATACTAATAATATAAATTATAAATACATTTTAAGATATCGTTATAGAAATATAGAGACATGACACATTGAATCACAATCTTTGTTCAGAATCGTTTTAGGTGCCTATGTAATGATTTATTACAAATTATCTCATAAATTACAGTGACGCATACTCTGCAATGATACATCCGATTAGAGCTACTTTTTTCAAATAAATTAGTTAGTCAACAGCTATTATATAGAAGATATCTGAAGTCCAAAATCCAAAGGAGTTTTATATTTAAACTAAATTAATTTAATGCATAATTAAATAGGGTAGAGGTGGTGGTGGAGGAGGTCCTTTTTACCTTATAATAATGTGCTGGGGTCTGGTGCAATTATAGATGTGTATAGTGGCTACTTTCTATAGTTGACCTTTATAGTTAATTTGTTATGATACTATGAGAGACAGGCCCGTATTTAAGATTTTGCCGCGAGTTGGCAACAACATTTTGGCACCCACGACTTAGCTAGTTTGATATGATTAATTTTTCCTATTTCAGTATTTTTACACAATATTTATTGTTCATACAAAATCAAAACTAACTGTCTTATGATTAACTAAATTAATTACATATTATAACAAACTTGTATGGAGGACTGAATTGTATTATTATTTTAATCATTATTCTCATAATAAATCGACGTGAGTACGTGACACTATACTTTTTCGTAATTTGTCGGTAGTTTTCTCCTTGGCCTTAAATAACCATTGAGAAAATCGAAAAATGGCCTTTCTAAAGTACCATCTTGATCCAATTTGCTAAAATATAAGATAGTACTATATGTTGAAATCGAAGCTTTCCTTCTGGTAGACATTTTGTATACATTATAAAAATAAAAAATAAAATAAAATAAACACCATTGTAAAACCACTAGCTTCCTCGCTCCACCCAGAATCTGAAAAAAGAGGTAATTTAAAAAAAAACCCATAGCACGCTACCTATTCGATATTTTTCCTCTATAAAGAAAATCATCTATTAGATAACCATAAATATTATGTTTTTGTTAATATGTTTTTTTTTACTTATTAATAGTAACCACGACAATGAATACCTTACAAAAATCGATCAGAAAAATGTTATCGTGTATCCAGCCAAAAACCATATTTGATATTTATAATAGAAAAATTTCATTTTACCAAAAAAAATTTCCGCGGTTGTAGATTTGAGAACCAATATTACACAATTTATTTATATATTTATTTTATTAAATTATAATTTTCCATTGTGTATTTGAAAATATCGAGTTACTTTTTTTAGTCACCATAATAATAATATAATGTTGTCACCCCCTAACATATGCCAGGATGGGCTATTGCCTTAAATACAGCCTTGATGATACCTATATATCTATTCTGTGAGTTTCTATTTTCATTAACATTAATTGGACCTAGAAATACGTGACCGTTCGAGTTGTCAGTCGCAGAAATTTACAAATAGCAATATATTATGCAAATAAAATAAAATATTGTTGTTATACAATTAGTTTATTATTATATATAATAAATACTTAAGTAAGTACCTACCTATAAAATAATTCATAATACGAATATTCCAGTACCTATATAATGGTATTTATCATTTTTAACTTTTTACTAATTTTAACTTGTGGATTTCCCAAATTTTAGTAATTTTTTTAATTACGGCATTATAGCTATCTATACTGTATACTGTATAGGTATTCTGTAGTCAGATATACTCAGGTCGTATACAATTATTATGTCGTTATGTCAAGCCTTTTGAAACATCTTGTACCTATAGTTGTATAGCTAGGCCCCTTCCCCTTGGCTTATAATACTTTATACTTTGGAATTGGTATTCAGGTGATTATTATCGTGTACACTGCACTTCAGTGGCGTATCTACGAAGGGGGATATGGGGGTCATATCCCTGGAAACCAAATTTTGTACACAATACAACATGTATATAATAATATAAAATTTGAATATAATATGTGTATTGTGTATACTGAATGTCTATTAAAAATTGTATATTCTCTTCTTGAAAAAATCCTAGATATGCTATAGGTACTGCTTTACTTTCTATGTACCTATAACACATCCTAGTTCCTGTGTTATTCGGTCCTTTAGGTCAGGAATCAGCTCTGCATATTGCAGGTTATTCAATACCTATTCATATAATAATCATATACCTATATACTCATAATTATATTTATATCTATATACACTACATAATTTATACAAGTGTAACATTTGTTATTGACTATATATACATTATACAGCCATATAGGTAGTACTTTATTATGTACATAAATTAATAATTTGATTAACATATTATTTCCAAAAGCTAATAGTATTTTAAATAATATACTTAATGGTTTATAATAGTCTTATAGTCTACTAATAAAGTGTGTTGTACCTTGTACATGTAGATAGATACCAACAAACATAAACAGCTTGGACTTACTATAGCTCCATATCTGCTGATAACCAAATATGTAGACAACTATTAATATTAATAATTATAATTTTAATAATATATATTTATTTGTCACTTTTAAAAAACTAGATTTTTTAAAAATATACTTATACATAAGAAAAAAATGATAGAAAAAAATTAACCTTATCTAATCTTAATTAGTTTTAATGACATTTTTATTTGTTAAAAAGTTTTATTTTTCTTTGTAAATATCACTTAGCTTAAAACTTTAGTATTGTACTTAACTCAAACTTATATATCTCCTCACAGAAGCATTATGCTAAAAGAGAATTTCAAACACATGTATTATAACTATTATTATTTATTATATATTTATATAATTGTATTGTATGTAATTATTTGTTTAGCTAAATCAATTTTATATATTATTATTAGCCAATGCGTAATTATTACTATTATTTTTATTGTTCTTAATTAACATCAGCTACAATGTCCATTAGTTACAATTTACTATTACAATTTTTTTTTAAATTTTTTATACAGTTTAGTTTTGTGTAAGAATGTAAGAATTTGTGTGGTAGTGTCTGCGTCTGTTCCGAGTGATGCGTCTGTAAATAGTACGACGATTAGAAAGCCTTAAGCACAATAAGCAGTTTGTTTAAATTATTTTTCCAAATGTATATGGGGCATGAGGCCCTACTCAGTTGGGGCCCGGGATGCGATTGCATCCCGTCATCCATTGCCAGCCCGCCACTGCATGGACGTAATTTATGCATATTCAGATTTTCATAACGATAATTTGTGAACGCAGTTCGATAAAAATCTAAGACTTTATAAATTAAACTATAATATTGTATAATAATTTATTATCTGGTTGAAATGTTTAAATATCAAAATATAACACGCTATTATAATGTTATTTATTTACATCACTACGGTTTACTAATAAACAGAGTACTCACAATAAAATATTATTTTGTTGTACGCGTTTTTGTTGAACTCTATTTGCTGTAAAAATATGTATTTTTCGAAAGAATTTTTGATAGGAATTTCCTTCGCTTCTTTCGGTATAGCAGGAGTGTCTTTCCTATTGTCAAGGAGAAAAAAACCAACTACCCATGGATATGGAATGAAAAATATGGAAGACTTCTTGGAGGTAAACAAAATATAATACATAATAGCATGTAGGTTTATATTATAACAATAAACGTTTAAATTCTATAATATTTGTCATTTTTAGTATGACCAACATATTAATTAGTTTCGGAGCAAAAACCTTGTGTGACTGGAGTGCATACCTGCAGGTTCTTGCTCTGAAATGTAATAACCTGGTAAGTCCATGTTGCTTATATTATCTCCTTAACTAATAATCGGACATAACGGTTTGTTACACCGAAATGTGTAGTATATTTCCTGATCAGGAAACCAAGTAAAAATACTTTTTTGAAATCAGGTTTTATCAGGTTTTTCACAGAAGGATTCCATACTTTTTAGCTTAGATAGGTATAGCCAGGTACAAATATTTACCATAAGTGCCAATTTACACTTATGAGTTTGTAAATTTAAGTATTAGTAACAGTTGAAATTCACTAACTTTTAACTTGCACGTTTAATTATTAATCTGTAACTAATATGAAATAATTACAAGTCACATAATATATATTATGTTGGTAAATTGCAACCCATATTAATAGTTAAATTTACAAATCATAAATATGAGTAAACTTCAACTATGGACCTACTGATAATTTTACACATTAAATGGGTTAATACAATATTAATTCAACTTCGATATGATTTTAAATTTACAAGTAATGCGAATATATAATAATATAATACCTATTTATATTAATATAGGACGAAAACGATAAGTTGTTCGATGCGGAATCGATAAGTTTTCGGTCCGTGTCCGATGATGAATTCGTAAGTTGTCGGTCCAATGTGGAATCTGTAAGTTTTCGAACCGTGTCCGATGTGGAATCTGTAAGTTTTCGGACCATGTCCGATGAGGATTCGAGAAGTTTTCAGACCATACCCGATGAAAACTTGAACGATAACACAAAGCTCATAAAATCAATAGCAGGTTTTCGATATGATATTGAGTATAATCTTTTAATTAAAACTATTTTCATATAATTCCATACTTTCTAGAACTGTATATGGACGAAGTGGAAAAGCAGGCGTTCGAGGACCTACAAGTATGAAACTAAGAACGGCTTTAGAACAATCGAATGTAATCATATAATATCGCAGTGCTGATAAACGGTTTTGATTTGATTTTCAGCATAACTTTAAAGTGGTTGAAATGTATTGTTTGGAGTTGAAACATCACGTGGTTGACGCAATGTATACCTTTCAACAGACTGCCGACGATCAGCGCCTATCGATCGACAGCCTGAAATTAGAAGTGTCTTGTCTTAAAAAAGATTTGAACCGTTTGACCTCCAATCTGCTGAAAAATACAGAGATGCAGTCCACGGAAAGTAATGTTATATAATATATCGACCTGACTATACCCATAACAGTGTAATACATTAGTCGTTTCCGTTCGTTTAGCAAACACCGAAAAACCCGACTGTTGCAAGCTACGTAGACTGAAGACAAGGGTCTCGGTTCTTGAAAGTAATATAATATAGAAAAATAATGGTTAATAGATAATAGAGTACTAATGACGTGTGCCCGTGTAGGTGATGTGATGAAAAACTCGATAGATATCGTTGGAATAAACCACATGCTGATGTTAATGTTGGCGAGCTCGGGGGCTGCCGCTGAAAATGATGTGTCGCCAGGAGAAAACCTTTTCGAGCTGGACACTCTGAACGCGCAATGCCACAAACCTACCTCGCCGACGACGTCCGCATCCTTTACACCCGTCGCAGGCCCGCCTCCTGCGGTAACCTCGGAAAATTTTTGGCCGCCACCTCCACCTCCTGAAGTAACCTCGGAAAACTTTTGGCCGCCACCTCCACCTCCTGAAGTAACCTCGGAAAACTTTTGGCCACCTCCTCCGTCTCATGCTGTAACCGCAGAACATTTTTGGCTGCCTCCTCCGCCTCCTGCTGTAACTTCGGAAAACTTTTGGCCACCTCCTCCGTCTTTTGCTGTAACCTCAGAACATTTTTGGCCGCCACCTCCACCTCCTGAAGTAACCTCGGAAAACTTTTGGCCGCCACCTCCACCTCCTGAAGTAACCTCGGAAAACTTTTGGCCACCTCCTCCGTCTCATGCTGTAACCGCAGAACATTTTTGGCTGCCTCCTCCGCCTCCTGCTGTAACTTCGGAAAACTTTTGGCCACCTCCTCCGTCTTTTGCTGTAACCTCAGAACATTTTTGGCCACCTCCTCCGTTTCATGCTGTAACCTCAGAACATTTTTGGCCGCCACCTCCACCTCCTGAAGTAACCTCGGAAAACTTTTGGCCGCCACCTCCACCTCCTGAAGTAACCTCGGAAAACTTTTGGCCACCTCCTCCGTCTCATGCTGTAACCTCGAAAAACTTTTGGCCGCCACCTCCACCTCCTGAAGTAACTTCGGAAAACTTTTGGCCACCTCCTCCGTCTTTTGCTGTAACCTCAGAACATTTTTGGCTGCCTCCTCCGCCTCCTGCAGTAACTTCGGTAAACTTTTGGCCACCTCCTCCGTTTCATGCTGTAACCTCAGAACATTTTTGGCTGCCTCCTCCGCCTCCTGCTGTAACCTCGGAAAATTTTTGGCTGCCTCCTCCGCCGCCACCGATGACGACCGGCACGGCAGCGTTCCGCCGTTACCCTGCTGTGCAGAAGATATTAATAAGATAATGTATAATATATTCCATTTGTGTAACATATTATTATGTATTAGGTAAGTGTATTTCTGTGCATAAATGAATAAACCGGTTTAATAAAATATACCCGAGGTATTTGTTTTATAATGTAGGTTTTCAAATTACATTTACAATATTATGAGTTATTAAAGTCTCACTATAAGACTTTAATCATTTTTAACTCCTGAAAAACTAAATGCATAATAGGTGTAGTTAAGAATTTTGATGGAAATGTGGTCATATAACCAGTGTTGAGACTTATTTAGATAATTTATCTAGATAATTATTTAGTTATCTTTTATCTTATATAGATAAATAGTTGTGTTTTATCTAAATAATTATCTAAGATAAAAAATTCATCCATCTAGATAAATTCGTCTCTATACCAAAACATGATATACACTTTTTAGTTTTTACTGTAGTATCTAAGCTGAACTGTCAAATGTTAGACTTTATAGTATGTATTAAAAAAAAAACATCTTTTTTTTTATTTAAATACAAATGTATTTATCTTTAATCTTTATCTAGATAGATTTGAATTTAGTTATCTTTTATCTTTATCTAGATAAAAAAGTACTTATCTAATCCCAACACTGGGATATATATGCATACAAAGTATATCTATATTTTTAAATGTGAAAATGAAAACCTTTGGGGTCTATGTTCTCGGAAACTATTGAACCAATCGTTATGATTTTTTTTTAAATTAAAGAGCTCATTGTGGAGAAGGTTTATGGCATTTGATCGATTCTCTAACTTAATAAACAAAGGATTATAACTAATGGCCTGTTACGTAGATTTGGCAACATGACAAGGGCAGCTAGTATAATTATATTTTATCATTGCTAATAATATGTAAAGCTCATAATACATACTTTATACGGTGCGATTCACCAAGTACATTCACCCCTTTTTTCTTCAATAATATTTTAGTTCTTAAAAACAATTTTTGAACATTTTTAAATAGGCTTAAAGACCACAATTTAGTTATTAGATACCTTATAAATTCTTGACATTTTAAGTGTTACTTGAGGAGATGTATCTTGTGGCGAAACAAACTTCTGTTTTTTTTTAAATAAGAACTCCCCTCTTCAACTGTAAATAATTTAAACGACAATTTTTTTAAAAATGTTGACGTGTCAAAATCAAAATTCTAACGAGTAGTTTTTGAGTTGTTTAACTTTGTGTACTAAGGAAAATAGATCCATGTTAAGGGTTTGAAAGATTCAAATACCCACCTCTTTAAAGTACCATCTTGATCCAATTTCCTAAAAGATAAAGTACTAAATGTTGAAATGGAAGAACTCCTTCTGGTAGAAATTTTGTATACAGGATAAAAAAAAAAATAAATAAATAAACACCATTGTAAAACTACTATAGCTTCCTCGCTCCGCTCAGAATCTAAAAAAACATTGTAAAATCAATACCTTCATTGCTTCTCTCAAAATTTAAAATTCTGATGTTCTCATAAACAAAATAGTGTTTCTTTTTTTTTGTATTATGTATTAAGAGTGTATTTTTATTTTTTTTTATTTCAACGGAATAATGGGTCCCATTGAACACCTTAGGGCCTACATCTTGTGTGTGTAGGTAAAATAAGTACCTAGATACCTAGTAGATACACTCATACTCTACACGCTACATCTTATGAATACCAGTTAAATATTGTTATTACTTATTATTAGTGTTCACTGTTGAAACATTACACATTTATAAATTATTAGTTACGAATTACTAATTAGGTATAAATTACCTACCACAAACAAATTAGGTACTTCCCTAGTTCAGTAGTTCCTTTATCCTTAGACTGATTTCTATGGGATTTAGAGTGAATTCAATATATTATTCAATGTAAATAATAATAATAATATATATAGTCACCTACTATAGCTACTTATTACTTATAGGTATCTATACATTTATATTTATATCGAGGGACAAAAATATTATTATGATTTTACACCTCAGATAATAATGGTATAATTAGGAAGTGTATAAAAAAAACTATAAGTCGATATTATTGTACCAAATAAATAATAATAGGTATACGTATACCAGCGGCGTATTTAGGAATTGCTAAAGGGAGGGGATGAGGCACTGAATGACATATGTAATAGGGGGGGGGGCTTTGCCCCCACGCCCCCCTTTGAGGTTTCCTATACTTACTCACTACATACTGTACAGTTTACATAACATTATTAACATTTAATACCAAATATTAATCATTAATTTTAGTTTATAACAATGACATATTGATTATTTTTCATTAGATTTGAAATAAATTTCAATTTTTAATTTACACTCAAAAAATATTCTTAGACAATTCACTCTTTAACAATTACCATCCTACTATCACCACCTATGTCCAATAACACAATAATACATTTAGTATAAAAATAATAGTGTCATAAATATTTATTTTTACTATAATAAATAATAATAATTACATACTCATACTTTCATTACTTTATACTTATAATACAAAATCAAGTTTTCTTTGTTTTATTGCTAGTTCATCAATTACTTCGTCAATACTTATGTCTACTGTACGATGAACAGATAATAGCGCTAGTCCATTAAGACGTTCCTAAGGACAATACAAATAATTAATAATGTATAACATTATAAATTATAATTCTGTATAGCAATATTAGAAAATAATATAAGAAAAACCTCATTCATTGAATTTCGGCAGTAAGATTTTAAGCGTTTTAGTGTGGAAAAGCTCCGTTCTGGTGTTGCTGTAGAAACAAGCAAAGTAACTAATATTTTAAATAAGAAATGGATGTTTGGATAAATATCTTTATTGCAGTTTTGTAAGGCTTCTAATCCATTTTTAGTAAGATTTTCACAGCTTGAAGCTAATTTGAGTTTCCACATTTTCAGTTCAGCCAAAACATTGTGTTTATCGATAACAGGAGAATATAAATCAATTAACTTTTGAAATTCTGTTACTATGTTCCACGACGTTTTGCTGACTTCACGTGAATAGAACTATAGCCACCCCCTGCCTTGACTACAGTCGTGTCTAGCTGGTACGTTGAGTGCAGCCCGCATTTATACAGAAAACGCACCATTTAGGACATTGCGGAGTTTGAGTAGCGTAATAATAACAGTCTATTAATAACCTTATAATTGATTTTTTTCTTACTGTATGTACAAAAATGAAAAATACATAGTAAATACTAAAACAAATTGACGATTCAGTGTCTATATAATAATTATGTATACTTGAATCCTTTAATAATAGCAAAATACCAAGAGGGGGGATTGATCCCCCAAATCCCCCCCGTAAATACGCCGCTGACGCAGGTATACTACCTACCTATAATCTTTCATCTATAATATGATAAAATGTCTCACTGTGCAGTTTGTCTTCGTACAGTGAACACTGCGTCACTGGCCACTGCTACACTGGACACATCCGCCAGCCTACTAAAAATGATTATATTTTATTAGAGATGGAGAATTCACGTATAAATAAATATCGGTAAATTTACCAATAAAGTGGTAAAAATGGTAAATAGAATCTAAGGTTAAATAATAAAATTTCTTAAAGCCATATTTTTTGTTAGTAAAGACGATCGTTATTACTTGTTGTATTCTTGTTAAATTTAATTTGATTTCTAAAATGACAATTAAGAACTAAAAATGTATCTATTGTTCTGTATCACTGAGAAAGTGAGAACCCCTTGTTAAATAATAATAATTTACTGTTTAGTTTGCCTACTAATGCGTATGCCTTATAGTACAATATTTTACTTTACTCACAATCATGAATCATATCATAAATTATATCTTTACTTAGTAATATTATAGTCTGGTAGACCACATTCGCTCAAAAGCGTTTTTCGTATTAATAATTTTAATTATTGAATTCAAATTTAACACATCCATTACAGTGGCACACTAGACACCAGCAGATCGATACCCAAGTTTTTTTATTTTATCTGCAATTTTGTTTTTATTTGACCACTCTAAATTTATCAAATATTACATACCATTATAGACTATAATGTACTATATTATTAGCGATAAAATTACGGAAGCACTTGACTACTCGGGGTATATCAAAATTATCAGCGATATCATCATGGACGCACTTAAACTATTAAAAAGGTATGATATACGTTACACTTAACGGGACGCACTCGGGCGACTAAGTCCGAAAATACAAAATATTCTATTAAATTGTCATTACTCATTTATAATTATATAATGTTTTCAAGAAGTAATACATTACAACGTATGATAAAAACTAGTACCTATAGCTAGGTAGGTACCTACCTACAACTGTCCTACTGTTAGGTTAACTAATACGACGTTTGAGAATTTATTATTCTAGTATCTTTGAAGTAAAATGCTGTTTTTAAATTCGTAATTAAATTATATTATAATATTGTACTTATACTATTAAGTAGGTATAGTATGTACGGTACACATTTTTATAAACGGTTTGAAAAAAATATGATAAAAGGTTCTGACAAAAAGAACACTGCAGATTTTATAACATGTTATATAGTAATTATCGTTATGTTTTTTTTACATCAGTTTTGTACCAATGAAAGTTTTGTAATTTGTTATAGTCACGATAAATGGCTACAACATAGTTAACAGTTTTAGTATACCTACGTGCAAAGGTTAGGTTCCAAAGAGTAGACGAAAATCCCTAAAATAAATATAGTTAGTACCTATATCTAACTAAGACATCTGGGTCATGTGGATTATTGATCTAAGTTTGTAATTAGAAAATATAACTAGGTAATGTCTAAATGTATAATGGAATATGACATAATAGCAAAATAATAAATATACAAATTTGGATTTTATATACATTCTTTTTATTAATTTGTTTTAGATTCTGAGTGGAACGATGAATGTACCTACCTATTGATTTTACAATGATGTGTGTTTTTTTTTATTTTTTTATTTTCTGTGTCTGTGTACACGATAAGTAGTCGAAATAATGCTTCGATTTTCAACTTCAGTATCTTGTTTGATTGGAAAGTGAATCTAGTTGGTGCATTCGGGAGGTCAAATTCCCAATAGTTTTCACAAGCGCCGGGATTAAACACATAAAAATTAAGGAATAACGGGAATTTTTCGCAAAATCTGTTTTCCAAAAAATCGATTTTGGTTTTTGGTGTAACTATAAAACAAATGAACGTATATACATGAAATTTTCACTGGTTGTTTATATTTACATTTTATATACACGATAAAATTTTTAAAATATTTTAATTTGTTTTGAACTGTTTAGGGACATTTTCATTTTCCATTTTTTTTTAGTTTTTATTCTAGAAATATCAATAAAATTTTATTTGTTGGTTTCGAAAGCTTGAAAATTTAATAGAACGCTCCTAGTATATTGTTTCAAAGGCAGATGAAAAATATTAAAAATCGTTAGTCACAATTTTGTTTTATAAGCATTTAAATTTCAAATTTCAATAAAATTGACAAAATATGGAAAAATCACGAAAATTAGCAAATTATTTTGAGTTAAGAATTCTTAAAAAATTTTCTTTTTAAATCCAAGATTTGAATATGTAATACAAGATTACTCATAAGTTTGTCTACCCTATTATCAATAAAAAAATCTCTACCGGAAAGTCAAATTAAATTTTTATGAGCGTTTGAAATTCAAATTTTTACAACATTGGATATTAACTCGATTTCTCATGTAGCGATTTCCTTATTTTGTTGTAATTCAAAAACGAATAACTGTAGATACATGAAAATTTCACTGAATATTTATATATACATTTCCTATACACCATACAATTTTGAAAATATTTTGATTCTTTTTGAGCTGTTTACGGACATTTACAGCTTTCAATTTTTTTTAGTTTTTTTTCCATAAATATCAATAAAGTATTTTCTGTTGGGCCAAAAAGTGTAAAAATTTAATACAAGGCTCCTGATATATTGTTACAATATCAGTTGAAAAATATTAAAAATACATAGGCACAATTTTTTTTTATAAATATTTAAAGATCGAATTTTGACAAAATTTATCAAAATCTCGAAAATTATCAATCATTGTAATTAATAAATTATAAAATGTTCAGTTTTTGTAGCTAAGGATTGCAAATTTAAAACAAAGGTTCTCATAAATAGTTCATACTGTAACCAAAAAATCTAAAAAATATATGAACACAGTTATTTTTTACAGACATTTTAAATTCCAATTTGGACGAAATTACATAATAAAAAACCTAGATTAACTATTTTAGTTATTTTGTTGTGATTGTATAATATTATATTCTATAATATTATACATATAGATATGGATATCGTGATATGATTAATTTGGAAATCATTATAGGTCAATTTTTTTTAATACCATAGATAAGTATATATGTCTTATACCTAGAAGGACATACCGTCTCCGCTCAGAATCGTTTTTCTTATACAATGATATAATATTATTGAATTCAAATGTGATACCATCCATTATACAGTGACCCACTTGTAACCTACTGTACAGCAGAGCGACACCCACTTGCCCACCTTTTTTTTAGCATGATTATTATTTATTACAAAGTGGTATGTGCCTATCTGTAATATTTGGTATTCCACTTACAATTTCGGTAAAAAAAATCAAATATTTATTTTTAAAATTACGTACCTATTAGATATGCTGCAGATACGTAGATAAGTCTTTTTCCCTATATTTATTTTCTGTATCACTATTGAAGTATAGACGTATAGTTATTCAGTACATCCATCATCTACAGATTTCTTTAAATGTTTCCAAGATTTTTAAAACTTAAAATGTCTTCAGATTGTTTATTTTTTGTTTAATATTCCTTACTTTTTAATATTCAGCTATCATAAAATTTAAAAGTGATCGTTTTTAATTTTTATGAATGAACGTAAATATTCCAGGCCTTGAAACCGATTTTAGAAACCGGTATAAACCTTTTAAAAACTGTAACTGAAAACAAAATCGAAAAAAATTGGAAACCGGTAAACAAAATCAGAACCGAAACCGAAATTTTTTCAATTGGTTTCAAGTCCTGGATTTTTCAAACCGTAAATTGTAGGTTGAATGTCATTCCCTAAAAATGACATCTTTGAAAATATTATGAAAACACTGATAGAACAAAACAATATAATATCAATATAATATTTAACATTTTTAAATTGGAATATTTAATTGAAACCAATTTTTAACAAAATCGTCTTTTATTTTTGCAATAATTCAAAACGAATAGATGATAGATTGGTAGGTACCTAGGTACTTACCTGAAATATTCATTAAATATTTATATTTGAATTTCATTAAATGATATAGTTTTAAAAATAGTTTGTCTCCTTTGTGTTATTCAATATATAATTTTTTGATTTATGATAATACAATTTTTGTTTGAAAACTTACTGAAATTCAAAAAAAAAATAATCTTAAAACCCCACAGGTAGTTATTTTTAATGAGTAGGTACCTTGTACATATATAATAATAATAATAATAATAATTATTATTATTATTCAACTCAACTCAACTTAGTTCGGATACATAAATATAAATTAATTTAAATGATAATATGAATTGACCTGATTACCCTTCTGTTGAAGAAAGTGCCAAGTTTGTGACGAAATGGTGAGGCTGAAGATATTATTTATTAATTACCTAAACAAGTAGGTAATTAATTATTAACACATTTTTTAAATTTATGAAAGTGTAAATAGTAAACAGCAATATATATGATAAAATATCTTAAGCAATTTTGGCTTTACCATTTTTGCTCAGAATCAATTTTTATCATGTTATACCTACAATGACTTCACAATGAATTAAAATCTAACGTGTACCGCGTTACAGTGACTTTTTTAATTAGTGTTGATAAAAAGCTTTGTAATTTAATATAAGATCCGTCATTAGTCCTAGTAGTCAGTTTTAATTAGTGATATTATATTTAATAGGTAACATCTGTTTTTTCCTTCTATTTGTTGATCAATTTTAGATTATTTGTCCGTTTTAACACTTAGTTAATATAAATATTATAAGATAATAAATCTTAAATTTAATTATTTGAATATCTTTGTACCAATAAATTCTAAACTACTTATTGTATGAGTCTGAATATACTTACAGTAGATAAATCCATACGTACAGTGTAGCACTGTAGCTAGTTTAATAAGAAACCATAAATCAAAATAGTTTTATTTCATCAGTATATTATTATAAGGAGTAGTTATGAACAACAATATTGATATTGTGACAAATTTTCGATAACATTATTATATTCTATGTCGGGAATTATTGTAACAAGTTTTTTTTTCTTATCTTCAATTAGCAATGAAAACAAATTTTTGAATTAATAAATAATAATTATTAATTCAAATTTGTATTCATTTATTTATATTAATTATTAATCTTAATAAGTAATAACTAATAAGTACTAAGTAGGTAATATTTAAAATAATTTAAAAATATTTTTGATATTTTTGATACAATATTGATATTGCACAACTTACAATAGCTCACGATATCGCGATATAATATCTGATCGATATCGATACACACAATTATATTGTTGCCCATCATTAATAAGGAGTGCAATAATAATATACTTCATCAGTATAATTTTGTTACTGTAGCAGTTGTTTATAGTTTAATTAAATAACCAGTATGTTATAATTTGCTGGTACCGTTGTATATTTTACATTATAGTAGTTGTAGTAAATTTAAATTCAATCCAATTTTAAAATATGTGTTTTGCTAATAAACATGTATTACTTTAAATTCATTACCGAAAATTATGTTATATCTTCAATATTACAAAATATTTTACAATGATTGCGTGATTTTCATTAACAGATAACAACAAAATAAGCTTTTCTAAATAACAATCAACAATTTATTATAAATATACAATTTATTTATAAGTAACTAAAAATATTACAAAGAAGCCTGTCACTATGGTATTGCTGCATAGGTTCAGACTTTCAACTAAATTAATCAGAATAAATACCCTGTACGTTACAACAATAGCAATGTTCAAAATTAAATAATTTCCTAAAATATATAGAAAAAAAAAATAACAATAAATATAAAGCATAAAGCTTCATTCGCCTCCCATTGCTACAATGATGTTAGACAGTGCTGTTCTCGCATCACTCTCTTCAAAAACTTCCAAGACTTCCATGGCTTTCCGAGAATGTTCTTTTTGCAATTGTTTGGTATAATCTATTCCAGGTCCTTTCATCACAATACTGTGTATCTAAAACAAAATATATTTATTTAAAAATACTTATTACAATAATTGATAATATTATATTCTACATATAAAAATGATATAAATTTAATAAAAATTAACAAATTAACATTTTGTGACTGTGTTTAATTTATAAAATATCATTGCAAAAGACTTTTGAGTCTGGTAAGTTACATATATACATATATAAGCTATTAACAACTGTTCTTAAAACAAGTGCTAGTGTGATCAGCTAAAAACCATACAATTTCCTAGTTTTAAACCTATGCAATGTATATAAAATATTCAAAGTATTTACACAATAAATGCGCACAACATAAATTAAATTTGCTTTAGAATAATAAAGTAAAATCATACTTTGGCATAATCAACATCTTGAACGGAGTTTACACCCTTGTCGATTTCTTCAAATAATGATGGGTCGTGTTCAAGGTGAAACATAACAGGCGCTGAAGTTAAATTGAAAGAGATGCCCAATGAATATGGTGAACCAGACATAAACGGCTCTAAATCTAGGTATGCCTAAAAATATAATAAATATAAATGTTATTATCACAGTACACATATTAACAAGATATTATAATGACAGTTGATTGCTTCAAGTATTACATATTATTATAATTGATTGTAATTTTTCAATTTATGGCAATCAGTTGGTTAATGTTAGTAGTAAATTAAAATTTAAGAAAATTTGAAATTCATATAAACTGCAAGATATAATTTAGTATATTATTATTATTAATTATTATTAGGTACCAAATCATAAAATTGTATTTAATTTTAAGGACCATAATTACAATTACATTGTACTAAAAAAATATTACATTTACTGTAGTAAAAAAATATAATACAAATATTACATTATCCATATTTTAAGTTGAAACTTTAGAATATAATATATTGATGGTACCTTACCATTTGATTATTTGTTAAATTTATTAATTAATAAACTAATACTTGTAAGAAATAACTCATCATTTATTCAATATAAAATTGAGTGATAATTTCACTGAACAAAATGTATGCTTCATCAAACACTAGGTAATGTAGTAATGTGTACAACTATATTTTCTATTATTTTATGCATAAATCTTGATTGGTACTTGTGTTATCGGACACACCCCAAAAAAAATCAGAAATATTATACGTATCAAAAAATAATATAGTCTAGAACCCAGGTTGATAATAATTTTGGATTGTTGGAAAAGTTATGACATTATTAAAAGCAATCTATCTTTCATACATTACTTTAGTAAGCCACAAGTACAATTTTGTTGACCACTAGATGGGCACGAAATCTCATATAATTATACAAAGACCATTGAGCTATAGTGGAGTTTAGTGAAAATAAGAAACAAAAGACCCTCCAGAATTCTTAGATCAATGCTTGACTCCTATCTTTTTATATTTCTATGAAAATTAAAGAATACAAGGAAACTTTCTGCTCAATAAAATATTTAAATACATTGCAAGTTTGATTCCACCAACAGATAACATTATCATTGAAGAGTAATTTGAACATATATTTTTGCGACCTGTGTTTATTTTTAAATTATATTACTTTATATAAAGATAAAACGATAAAACATTGGAAAGTTGTATTATCAATTTTTTTGGGGAGGAGGGATTATAAGATATAACTACTTGTTGTAATACTATAAAATTGGATATTTATAGAAAAAGTTATAGCCTTCAGCTACCTACGGAAGTTGAAAAAATAAGTTATAAGCACCCTCTAAGTTTCAAGTAATCTATTGATGTAACTTTTATTAAAACGGCCCTGTCATTTTTTGCGCTATTAACTTAGGATGAATAGACTTCTAATTTTAGTTGTATAACTCAATTTTGCCTGTGAAAAAATTTAAAAATACAAAATATAGGCTACTTAGGTGTATCTTGGGTTTGGTGTACCTCAATGACAGGAAAATTTGAGTCAGTGTAGGTACATCACTTAGTAAACTAACTCGACCAAGATGGACAATCTTTTGTGGTGGATTGGATATAGAACTTGGTATGATTCGAATGTGGTGCAAACTATCCTCTAAACTTTTTTGATATCTCTAGGAATAATTTCTAATTTCACAAAATATATGTTTTCAACTCTCATATTTGTTTTCATTTATTTGTTCGAACCGATAAACGTGACAATTTTATGCATGCTTTTATCTCATCTGTCTGAGTAACTAATAGCAACCATTTATAGACAACAATTTCCATTGTAAATATCAAAATCCCTGTTTGAGCTACTCTCCGGGTAGGGCAGACCGAGTAAAATCGTGAATCTAAGACTTCCAGAGATCCACTTAAACACACATAACAAATTTCATCAAAATCGGTCAAGCCGTTTAGGAGGAGCTCAAATAGGTACACACTTACAAAAGAATTATATATATAAAGATAATTGTATATACTTTACCTGCCAAGCAAGTGAAAGATGTTTACCAAATAAGAATCCTTGTTTTTGTAACTCTACTCCATGTCCAGCTAAAGCTAATGTGCCTTGACATGATTTGCCCAATAAGCTGCCGGCTGATAGAACATTACGTTTAGTCCAGTCTTGAAGAGCAGGTGTTAATGGCATATTTCCTAAAGAATCTGATGGTTCCAGAGGGTTAAGAGGCAAATTTGAATTAAAATGTCGATTAAGTGGTTCAAATGGTGAAGGAAGAGGATTATTTTGAGAATCTCTTCTACCGACGAATTCAGCTTCAGAAAGATCACGCAAAGCACTACTGATTAACTCAACAAGCTTTAAAAAAAAAAAAAATGAAGCATTAAGGTAATTAAGTACATTTAAATCTGAAGTTAGGCATTTAAATATTACTTACATCTTGATTCCTGAGAGAAGCAAGTTCTGCACATGAGTTACTCAGTAAATAATCACCACTGAGTAAAGCAATTTTATTTCCAAAAGCCATGTCATTGAGTATAACGGGTTCTGGATATAAACCTGGGTAAATGTTAACCAGACCGTTGTGTACTAAATGACTGGTACGAATCATTTCGGTAACTTCGGCCAATGCCCTTTGACTATGTAAAACACCAGCAGCTTTGTCTTCTTCCATTTCATCAACATTTAAATGACCAGCTGCTTTGGAAATCAGCAACACAATCAAACCCCAAGCCTGCATGTTATTCCTGCCATTGTACAACAGGCCTCTGGTAAAGGGAAAATTGTATTAATTTTTTATTATCATTATAATTTCGGTTTTTAATCAAAATATTATCCACTAACTTGGCGGTTTTGAGCAGCGGATGATTGGAGCCGACCAACTTGCGCAGGTGTAACGCAACATTTGCTATCTCGTCGCTCAGCAGCCATCTGAGGCTAAGAAACGACGTAGGGTAGCCAACGATTTTCTCGGCTTCGGACACTGCGCGGTTCCAGTCGGGCTTTTGTTGGTTGCCGTTGTGTACTGCCGTGGCCGAAGAGACGAACGGTCGCCGGTAACAGACGGCCGTTGACGCCGAATTCTTCGATATCCTGGGCCATAGTAGCCGAAATGTTGCTGGTGTGCTGTTCATGACGAACGGTGTGGCATTGGACGCGGCGCGCTCACGACGAGCGCGCAGTTATGAAAGAGAAAAGGAGAAAGTGAACCGATTACGAGTGTACACCATGACCAGGTACGATGTGGCCTCAAGGCCGTTGTTTTGAAGCATCAGACGAAATACGACAAACCTCCATATTGTTAATTAATAATAACAACAATAAACACTTTAGGAAATTGTTACGAAATCGTTCATTACAATAATAAATAATAATAATATAATAATATAAAATATATATTATAATAAAACTTTGAACTTAAGAATAGATAGGTAGTGATTATCCCTTATCAGTTTATCGGTTATCAGTATACCTAATGTTAGTACGTTTTTCACGCCATTGGTCTTGTAGTTCCCGCCACTGATACTATATAGGTGTCTAGCTAAAATAATATTATAATCATGATCACGGTCGACGTTAAAATTCGCGAATGGCGACTCGCGAGAAAATAGAGAAAGATATTATAATACCATAATTATATACGTTATATTACTATTTATTACCTATATATTTTCTACACCGTGGTCCATCGGTTTGCGTCTTTGCTATAAAATTCGCGTCGGGTTATTGGTTTCTGTTGTGTTATTTCGAAATGTACATTGTTCAAATACTAATAATTAGTAATAACTTTGATTTCAAAAAAACCCTATTGAACCTCTTAGGTACATATTGTACTACAATATTCACAAAAACACGAGCGAATCCAGTAAATGATGGGATATTTCTAAGAAATGAATAAATACTCTCTTCTTATTGTGTGGTGTCCGAATGCGTCTTTGTGAACCTGATTAAACGAATTAAAGAGGTACCTACGGTTGGTCGTAAAATATTATATTCAGTATGGATGTCGTGTATTTTGCTATATAGAAGAGAAATTTTTGCGATTTACGCAATTCTTGCATACCGCGTAGTAGTGTAGCTTTTCGAATGCCTATCCTGGACCCAGGTGTCACTTATTAATCGAATTATTATTATAAATACCTAGTCAATTAACATGTGTAAACGATAAATATTGTGACTATCTAAATTACTATACTAAACATATTATTTGTAATAATTATCATACTTCTGTCATCAAAATATCTGTATTAGCTGGGTAAGTATACCAAACGTCTCAATCTATACCGACAATATACGTAGGTAATTACAATAATTGATTGCTAATACTTGTTTAAATATATGTTATATCCACGTAAATAATCATAAAAGTATACGAATTAATATTAAATCATGATCCACGTGGCAAATTATATTGTGTATTATAAATTTTAGTTTGTTTTAAATATCCCCTGCTGGCTAGTCACAACATTTTCAAAAAATGTTTTAATTATTAGGTACTATTTTATCTGGATTATTCTATAGGTAGTTAAATTAGAATCCCCTGTATGCTGTAATCTGTATACTGTATATATAACTACTACCTAACACCTATACTACGAAAATCTATTACAGTAGGTAGGTAGTCAGTACTATAATAATGTATAGGTACTAATAAAATGTTAATGACTGCACGAGTCTCGTTATTTATACACTACAAGAATTGTATTTTATATAAAACAAGTAACATGTTAAGTGTACCTATGTGGAAATACATTTTTACTAGTTATACCTGAAAACTTCATGTAGTTATGAGTGTTATGACCTATAGGTACTTACATTTTAGCACCTCTACATTTCATCACTGTTTAGTTGTGTTAGTAGACATTATGCCTATCAACATTTTTTTATTAATCTATAATTCTATTATTATATAATGATGTTTTCCACATAGGTATTATTATATAACTACTGTATTCACAAATATAATTTTATTTTAAATTTGAAAACCTATGGACAATATGGATTTGGCTTCTATTACTAAGTGTCCGATTAGAATCTTCAATGCATTGGGTTGGGTTAGGTTAGGATGTCATACCAAAATGTAATAATATTATAATGCAATAATAAACCTATACTACATAGTAATATATTATATATTATATTACCTACCTACTTTATAGTCTATGATATACCTATATATATATATATTATATACATGGATCGGGGTACTAGGTAGGTATTCATAATGTTAAATGTATACCTATGTTTAACTTGAGATCAGTGGGGATATTAACAAATATGTGTGACTAAAGAGGGGGGCAGTGTTTGAATAAATAAAATTGACTGAAGTGATTTAAAAAACATGTTTTTAAAAAGAAGTAAAGATGGGTGGTACCTCTTTGTAAAATTCCTCTGTTCATGTCGTCTGTCTGCGGATAATTATATTACAAAATAAAAAGTGTTGGAATTTATTTACTATATAAGGTGACCTAACTATAAAGTATAAAGTACGTATATATTATATCTACGTTATGTGTCATACATACATACATATATCATGCTTAAGGCATACTTAATGCTTAAGTATACCAGTTATACATTTAAACCACTTTCTATCCGAATCTTCTTCCTGTATAGATCAAGTCTGACGTATTGTTAATAATTAATTACTATAGCCTATAGGTAATATTTACGTATTAGTTTTATGAACGGTAATAAATTAGAATACTCGGATTTCTGTTACCAAAAAGTATCTATTTATTGATTAATATAGTATATTAATCTGATGTATTTGCATAATGTTCTAATTTATTAAACGAATTAAATTTTAAACTCTGTAGTTAAGAAAAATATTGATTTTTCAATCTTAGGTATACGTTTTTTTTTAAATAGGTATAAATTACTAAGTTGTATGTAAAAATTTAAAATCGTTAATACGATGTGGTTACAACACTTTTTTGTATCGTAAACGTGCTTGGTAAATGTATAGTGATTTTTTAGAAAACAATGTTCGGCAATCGGCATCATCTAAAACTTGCCTAGAGACTTTCCCTTTATACCTGTACATACCTATATTATTGGTGTAGATATTTCTCTATACTTTGATTACGATATTTTAATAGACATTCGTAAATGTATGTACTGTACCAAGCTATCTATAGTACCCAGGTATACCTACGCATATAATATATAGTCGACCGAGACGATGGTTAAAGTTATATATTTTATGATATATATATTTTTATTCCTACTCGTCTCTTACTAGTGATTATATTGTTCTGAAAGCGTAAAATAATAATTATTATGATTTGCATTGCACTCGTATCCAAATTCCTATGAGTAAATACATAGGTTAAAAAAAATAATAACATCGTTTAAACATTTTACTTGTTCATCAACTATACCTACCTACATGATGTAAACGTGACTAAAGTGTGTATACACTTTCGCTTTTCAGTTTTATTTTTGTTAATTATTTTCATTTTTTTTTTACCACTTTATTCTAACTACATACTTTCCCTCCGGTTGTAAACCGATCGGCTGGCAGTCTGACTGACGACATTCGGATGGATTTAGATCTATATACAAAATAAAACAAGTTATTATTTCTACACAGCATATACATGCAGACTATAACTGTAAACACAGTTGGGACCAAAATGCATAACATATTTATAAGTCATAGGTACCTTACAGGAATTTATGAATGGAAGCTTTCATAATTTATAACGGAAAACACTACATGGCAGTAAAACTCAGCACTCTCCTCCTAGGTAGGAATATCATGGCTATATTATTATCCATAATGTGCCCCTTTATTACATTTTATTGTAATTTATATTTACTATTTATTTCCTAAACCTTTAGTGTCATTTATTGAAAACATACTGATAGAACAACATTCAGTATAGTTATACTATTTAATATTTATATAATATATGTCCTCTCCTATAAAATACACCATATTAAAAAAAATTATCAGTGATTTCTATTTTTAAATTAAATTAAATGAGATTATTATAAAATATTCTCTTAAAGAAAATAATGAATAGGTATATAATGAAATGTCAGGATCAATGTTCAATTAGAAAATGAAAATAAGTATACTGGATAATTAAATAGGTAAGTCCTACTATTTGGAATATTTTTGTAAATAATTATTTACGCATTCATTACAATATTTAACTATTATTTTTATTAATTACCTTAATTTTATTATTGTATACTTATTAGGAATTACCCATTTACGTCAAAAAAATCAATTCGTTTTAGGTACCTACAGTCTATTTGCGCCAAAATAAAAAAGGTACCTATGTTTTTACCAACAGCACATTTGCGCCAAATTTACCTGCTTAAACATTTTACAATAAAGTCCCAATCAAATTCAAATACAAATTAAAATGATTTAATTATGTAATCAATTTAAGTTTATTTCGGATCAATATAACTAGTTAATGATCTTATTGTGTACTAATACAATTTATTTTTTAGAATAAAGTACTTTTCACAACACATTTACCTAGTATTTTATTTTATTCAGACAATTTTTTCCACGATTCGTCTTACAAAATAAATCGAGTCAAGTAAAAGTGATAGGTACCTACCGCTACCAGCTATATTTCTCATACCAACGAATATGAATGACAATCGTTCTAAATTAAGGGGGGGGCTGCATTCCTTGTTGTAGTACACCAGAAAAAGATTGTTCTCAACGGGGAGACAATGGCCTTGAATAAAAAGACGACGACTGGTCTATAACCTACTTGATGAACCAAACTCGGCCTCTTTTATACAAAACCACAAACGACGTAAATGACGGTCAAACCGAATAGGTAGTTTTCTTTATAAATTTAATAATAAAATTATATTTTAATATTTTTAGTATAAATGATATTTACATTTTTTGTTAATTTATCAAGATATTATATTAGTTTTTTAAAAAACACTTTTTTGTATCAAAATATTCTCTTATTTTCATAATTTTTCCTCTTATCTTTTATTATAGAAATGCATACCTATACGGTATAGGCAATATCTAACTGTATAATTTAAGTCACTGAATTGCGGTGATAAAAGGTATATTGACAATATGTATAGAAAGTAGGCGAATAGGTAGGTATAGTGAACATTGTTGTAAGTCTACACATAGTACCAT